TTTATTGTGCTTATTTTATTTATTTTATTTTATTCTTTTTTTTGTATTTTAATTTACTTTTTATCTTACTTTATTTTTTTTTATTTTATTTAATATTTTATTTTTATTTTTTATTTTTTTTAACCTTTTTTTTCTTTTAATTTTAGGAAACGGTGATAATGATAAGGGGAAACTCTTCGGATTTATAGTCTCAATTTGCAAAGAAATTATTCGTGACATTTCTGTCATTCTTCTTGATGCAACTTACGGGACAAATAAACATAAGGATTTATTATATACCTTGCTTTCTCCTGACCCCAAAACCGGAAAAGGTATCACGCTCGCTCACCTTATTTTGTTCCGCAAAAACTTCGAATCTGTACAGTATTGGTTTTATAACCTTCGCGCTCAATTTCCTGATTGGCAAGATCCTACTGCATTTTTAGTTGACTATGATCTGGCACAAATCAAAGCCTTTCGTGTGGTTTTTCTAGAAAGTAGGATCTTGCTTTGTTGGTGGCATGTTACAAAAGCCTGGAGGGAAAATCTTGCCAAGGTTAATAAAGAAAAAACCCAGTCATTAGGACGTAAACTCACATCTGATGAGAAAAGATCATTAGAAAGTGAGCTCTTTGAAGATTTAAAGTACCTAATGAACATTGATAATATAAATGTCGTTGATGAAGTTTTAGTAACGTTTTTTGAAAAATGGAAAAATTTAGTAACATTTATAGCATATTTCAAACGACAGTGGCTGAATGAACCAGATGAATACAGAAATCTTAATGGAATTAACAAAATCATGTGGATAAAAGCTTACCGTACAAGAATTCCACGCACTAATATGGATACGACAAATATGCTTGAATCTTGGCATAAGCGTTTAAAGTATAACAATTTTGAAGGCAAAGTAAATAGACGCATCGATGTTTTAATTTATGAACTATATGTCGTAATGGACGATGATACTTGGCAACAATGGCACCTTGGTGACGTTCGAGCAGGGCGTATGATGCCTGCAGAAAAGGAAGTTCGCAGAAAGCAAATAAAGGCGCAAGAGTTAGTAAACGGGGGTGAGTCAATATAAAATATACAAATTTCTTATAATAAAATTTTATAAGTTTGGACAAGAATAGCTTAACAAAATCAAATTCAGTAAAAATTTTTTTTAGAAACTTGCAGAATTAATTTTTATTAATAAGTTTTTGTTAAATCATTCTTGTTTAAAGTTTTAAAAAATAAAAATTGTTTGCTTGGTTTTTATTGACTCAACCCCAAATACAGTTTTAGAAAACACAATTGGCGAGAATTATTGGACTGTAGCTTCGGAAACAATGCCAGACATAAGATATTCAGTAGAAAAAAAATTTGAACATAGTCAGTTAGAAAGAAAATTTTCTTGCATATGTACAGACTTCAGTATGCGACAACTTCCCTGCAAGCATGTTTATGCTATCATCCTTCGCTATTTTTCTTCACCTTCAAAGAACGTCGAACTACCTTGCCAAAAGTGGCAACAAATTCAACAGCCACAGCAGCAAGTCCCTACTCCTGAAGAACTTATTCATAATATTCATGAAATGACGCAGAACCTTAATGATCTTGATGTCAATTCTTTACAGGTTGTTCGTAATCAATTGTCCAGAGTTCTTGAGGATGTTCGCAGGCCAGACAGAACTTTTCAGGAAGGTGACTAGGTAAATGATCAAAATATTAAATTTCCACCAAATGTAAGTGTAGAAAGATAGCAAAGATAAATTTCATACTCTTTATCATCATAATTATTATTTAACCAAACCTATTTTAAGAAAGAATGTTTTAATTAAGATCTCGCCATTTGTTACCATAAAATAATTGCTTATTAAACCAGTATTTATTACGTATTTGTTAAATCTTCAGCTTGAATCAAAAAAGCCACTATATATCGAAATCACAATGTCAAATTATTTTTATATATTGTTCCGTCCAAATATACTGTCATTTCAATAAATCTTCCTTCAGTTTATTTTAATGTGCTGTTAACTATAATTGTATTTTAATATATTATTATACTGTGATCGTACGCGTTTAATGTGCCATTATCATTATACTACAATTGCTATTGCAATGAGGTGAAATAAGTAATTTAGTAAGTTGAACTTCGACTTTTGATCAGCCAATCACATAATTAACGATGATCTAACAATGATCTATTCTATTTTTGGTTTTGTATTACTGGCGCAAATAAGTATACGCCTCATGACCAGCCAGGCCAAATTTTACAAAACTTTAAAAAAAAATTTTTAAATATATTCTAAAAAATTGTAATTAAAAGCTGGGTTGCCGGGTAACTTTTAAAATTTTGATGAGAACCAATTTATTAAGTTTGTATAGCCTAAAATAAGTCATCATCTGATTTCAGCATCTTTCCGACAATATAAAAAAAAAATATCTATATGATTCATTAACCAATCAAAACGAATTATATAAGATTGACCAATCATAATTGATTATGTAATCTCAAATTTGAGATTGCAGGCTAAAATCCTGACAAACAAAATCCTGACAAAGTCAAAATCTGACAAGTTAGCCCATATTAGGTTAGCACTATCTATAGTTCTGGTCTATTTTTGTTGGGATTTGGTTTTTTAGAATTTTGATTCCAAACCTATATTTGGCTCTTTTGAATGTTTTTTGCTGTCCCGTACTGTATTATGAATGCTGATAAAGTTATCCTTAATAAATTGTTGCCACGAGAATATTAATGTGCTATCGCTATGAGTTTAGCTAGCATATAATTTTTATATAACATATGGCAAACCAATAGTAAGGCTTGATTATACATGACAGATTCTGCAATATAAAATATTATATATATGGTTTGAACATATAGGCCATTTTGGGAATTACTATTTAAATAAATTTTTTTAAAAACTTTAATCTTAAATAACTTTTTATAAATTAATCTGTTTAAAATAATTTTGTTACCAAAATACTTTT